ATTCTAGAAAATTAATAAATTTGTATTGAGGATATGTTTAGAAAATCATGGGATATATTTTGTGACCATATTGGATATTATTTCAGAAGCAAGGTTATTAGGGGCAAAGCCAAGTGGTTTTCCGATTGAGCAAAATCACAAGCTTAGTCTTGCTAGTGGTGAGTTACTTGCGACTCCTGGTAGAGTGGTTTATTTATCTCTCGGTTACTTGGTGTATTATGTTCATATTCTCTCGCAGAATATACAAGAGCCTCGCAGTGAGCACTGGGAGGCAGCTCTGACGGTAGTGCGTTATTTAAAGGACACCCCGGGACAATGCAAGGTATTTTGTTGAGTGCAGATAGTGACCTGACTTTGCAGGGTTGGTGTGATTCAGATTGGGCAGCGTGTCCTCTTACTCGTCATTCGTTGACAAGTTGGCTTGTGTTTCTTGGTCATTCTCCTATTTCTTGGAAAACCAAGAAACAACCTACAGTATCTACATCTTCTGCCGAGGCCGAGTATCGATCCATGGCATCGATCACAAATGAGTTGAAATGGTTAAAAGTCTTACTATTGAGTTTGGGGCTTCAACACCCTAAGGCGATCAAGTTGTTTTGTGATAGTCAATCTACCCTACATACAGCCAAAAATCCAGTTTTTCATGAACGAACGAAGCACATTTAGATTGATTGTCATATTGTTCGTGATGCTATTACAAAGGGCTTAATTGCTCCATATCCTATGTTTCCACTAAGGAGCAATTGGCGGATGTTTTTACTAAGGCGCTTGGGAAGACTCAGTTTGATACTTTTCTTTCCAAGTTGGGCATTTTTTATCCCTATGCTCCAACTTGAAGGGGTATTGAGGATATATTTAGGAAATCATGGGATATATTTTGTGACCATATTTTATGGCTAGAATATCTTTTGGGGTATTTTTGATTACTTTCCTGATTCTATCTTATTAGGGTATTCTTGTATTCAGTTGCGGAATTAGGAGGTAGCTGGGGGTAGCCATGGCCACCCCTGTAAATGGTAAAGTTTATTAATTGTTGAATAAAATGTAGTGGTAAACTTGGCAAAGTTGGTTTCTTTGGGGTTCAATTAGTTTTGAACTTTTTTGCTGAGCTGTGTTCGATCCTTGCAAAGAACATTTACATTGTTTTCATTGGATTTAAACAAAACTTTAATTCATTTTGTCTTCATGTTCTCATCTTTCTTTTTTATTTTCATGAACTATTTATTTTTGGTAGGAAATATAACTAAAATTTATAATTATGGCCCCATCTATATAAATTTTTTGGTTCCGCCACTGCTTGTATTATATATTGGCTATGGCCATCATTAATGAGAATCAAGTTATTGTGTTTATTCAATTTAACTACTTGTAATGGAGAAATTTTAGGTAATTATAATGGAGAAAAACAAACTTCAAGCTCAATTTTAGTTTTAATGGAAGGCATGGTCACCTTTACCCTTTGGAATTGACCATGCCCTTAATTTCATCCCCTTTTCTAGGATTTTTCATTTATATCGACGCTGGATAGGGTCATCTTCAGTGGTGTTCAATGGTGTTCGTTGCCTTCGATGGGAGCTTCAATGGAGGAGCAAGGAGGAGGAAGAAGGAGATTGACGGTGTGAGTGAAGAAAGGAGATTGAGGAAGAAGGAGCAAGTTAGCTTGAGTTTCATAATGTTAACTAAAGTACAAAGCAAATTACATATTTATTTTCAATAATTAGTTGAGATTACTTAATTACCTTTTGAAAAATTAAATACTACCTCCGTTACAGGTTATGTGCAACGATTTGACATAAAGCAGAGAGGGAAAATGTCTAATCGTTGCACATAACCTATAACGGAGGTAGTAATTTTTGTTTCTCCATTTGAGCAACAGGGCCCCTCCATGTCATCATGTGTAGAGCACGTGAGGAGTTAAATCTCAAAAAGTGTAAATGTGAATGCCGAGTACATATATAATAGATAACTAGCCTTTTGGCCCATTCAATGAACGAGTTGTAGCTCATTTTATTTTTCTTGAAATGTGTTGCTTATTTGTGTTATATCTGTCGGTGATTTATACTCGTAATACTTTGCTTAATTTTCTTACTTATAATTTGCAAGTTAGGAATACATAAATATTTTAACATTAAATAATTTGTATTTTAACTTTTACATTAAAAGGGGTATAGAGAGGAGTACAACTTTTTTTTATAATGAAAATGCAACACTCCATTTTCTTACTCAAATTTGCTAGTTATTAGGAATGCATAAAGACTTTACCATTCAATAACATTTTATTTTATCTTTTACTATAAAAGAGAGTATAAAGAAGAAATATTAATGGATGTGTTATGTGGCATATGGGTGAATTATGATGACATGTGTCATATAGGTGATTGTGGTTTTCTTTTTTAAATATTAAATATAGATATAGATATAGATGTGGTGAGAAAAATGTTAAAAATTTAGGTGAGTTTTCCAATCCCTTATGCTTTATGAAGTATAAATCAAAGGATTTTGAACCTTTACCTTATTCTATTCATTTTTGCCTGCTTATATAGAAAAATAAGATTAGTAAGATATACATTGCCTATTTTATCTTAACTCATATATGCTTATTCTATTCATTTAGGTAATGACTTATTTAACTTATATAAGCAATGGCTTATTTAGTTATTTACATTCAAAATAAACCAATATGAGTTAAAAAGTCCAATTGTTGTATGTAATTCAATTCGGATAATTGAAAATCAGATATGTTAAAAATGCCCCCTAAATTGAAAATCAGATATAAACAATGATCCTTACTTTAATGTATGTAAAATCCGACATATCATGCTCTTGTATGTAATTCAACCTCTATAACAAAGGGGGTTTAAATCCTCTGTCCCATTTGTGTTCCACTTAATATTATTGGTTGTAATAATTACAAGGTCCCACTTCTCAAATTTTAAAAGGCAAATAAATTTTTGAAGAACCAATCATATTTAGTGGAACACCAGTGGGACACAAATTATGGGACAGATGATTTTCTCACAACAAAGTGGACAATAACTCTACTGAATTTAGAATTCATGATCACACTATTTTCTATTTATGGTCATGAACTCTTATAATTAATTATTAAATACTCCCTCTATCACTTTTTAATCTTTACATTTGAAATTTTTTTGTGAGAAAAAAAAATGATAAAACCTTAATTATTATAAAGTGATAATCTTTCTTTTGCATCAATGCATGCTTCATTTTGCCAGAAGTTAAGTATATATTCCTATAATAACCAACTTTTTCTAAATAACACCCAAAAATCCATCTATCTCTCTAATAATTGTAAAAATGAAAATCGTTTAAACTTGACAATTTATCAATTCCATCAAATCCATTAAGGGGCCGTTTGGTTTGGACGGGGTAAACGGAATGGAATGAACAAAGGGAAAGAAAGAGAATGGAATGAAAAACCATTCCATAAACAATGTTGTTTGTTTTACAAAAAATAGAAAGAAACAAACCATCAATCGAACCACCATACCACCACCATAGAACCAACCACTTCATTCACTTTGAAACCTTTCCCGGCCAACCCACCACCCAACCACCTCCCAACCTCACTCGCCACCCTTTGTCGAACATCCCCCACCCTTCGCCGCCCATCTTCTCTGCCCGAAAAGCCTTCCCTCTCACCTGAAAAAATTCACCACCTGCGAAAAACCTAGAAACCCCTTCCCTGACGATTTTACGAGGGCTTTTCGAGGGGAAGGGGCAGCGATTCCCCTGGCGGTTTCACAAGGGGGGCTTTTCGAGGAGAGAGGAGGGCAGCGATTCATGGTGGTCGGCGGAAACATACGCATGTAGGGAGTGGTAGTGATGGTCGGAAAAGTGAAATTGACGGAGGGTTTGGTCTGAAGGAGGCTAATCAGAGTTCCTGCCAGAGCCGGTGGCCTTTAATGGTCGCTGCTGGTGGCCTTTAGTGGTTGCTGCCGGTGGTTCTGGTTTTCTAGGGTTGAGGAGAGAGAGTGAAGGTGATGGCCATGGAAAGGGAATGGAAAAGGCTAGGAGGGGGTGGGGAATCAAATTGGGTAAACTCAAAAATAAAAATGGGTAATGGGAATGAAAAAAAGTGACAAACAAACAACTACAAAGGGAATGAATCCTATTCATTCCCTTTTCCTTTGATTATTACCCCCAACCAAACGGCCCATAAATTTATCCAATCAAGTAGAGAATAAAAGCAATTATAAATGCAAGAGGAATAAGAAACATGAGATCGAGATAGTGTGTGATCCCTTTGTTTTATCCCAAAAGATTTTATTTATCGAAGATTTCAATGTACTCTATTAAAATATGAACATCTTTGTCAAAATCAAAATTAAAAAAAAAAAGAAAGAAAACAAAAAGGTATGAACATTCAAAGCTAGGATGCTGTTATGGTCAAAAACAATGTATGCATTGATTGTATTCACTAACGTCTCATTTAAATTTAATGCTTAGTAATTTTTTTCTTGCCACCCCTATATACTAGCTCGATCACCTATCTATTTCAATGTTACACAGTAGTATTTGTACATAAACACACAAGTTATCAGTATTTCTTTCCCTCTATATTGTACATTTGTACAACATCTAATTTTCATAATTCTTCGAATTTTTTTTTATAACCATAAGATACTATTCCTACATCATATTTGATACAGATACGACCCATGTATTAGATAAAGTAATCGGACAAAGTAATTATAACAACTTACAGCATGACTCTCTTATCAATGTTTAAATTATATTAGCTAAATTGTTCATTTATCTTGACATTTACTGAACTAAATTGAGCTGGACTGAACTGATTGGAACTAATATAAGAGACGGAAATTAAAAGCTGAACTAAATTGATCTGAAATAAAATTAAACTGAAATAAACAAGCCCTTAATCAACTTATTTTTATTTGAAACATTAATCACCTTGTTTTACTCAATAAATAGTTGAAATTGGACATATTCCATCATTAGCTAGTCAGCATAAGAATATATGCTAACACGGTTACAACACGAATAAGAACAACACCGCTTCCAAGTTTAATTTCAATCCTAATTTGTGTCTATCTTTGTGAATTGAGAATCTTCTAGACTCACCTTCAAACCTTCCAGATTATTTCTTCCCATTAACAAATCCATCATATCATACATATAGAAAACTTCAATAAAACAGTGATATATTAACTCGTTACATAAAGGAATACTTCAAATAAATCAAACAAAACTTGACGATCAAATTCAAATATCATTATGTGTTTGGTGTTTATTGTAGACGAAGACGAGAAGGTGATCGGGCGGTACGCAGCAGGCGGCGCGTGCCCCTACTGCGGTGGTCAAGTCCAGGCTTTAGATGTTGAAAAAGCATGGCGTTTATGGTACGTCCCTTTGTACACCCGTACCAAACGCAAGTTTCTTTGCTCTTTTTGTAATCGCCCTTTGATCATTCAATATCCATAATTATTGTTCATGTTTGTATTAAATTATTGTAATTGTTCGAAATATTTATATTACAAAGTACTCCGTATATGAATAATAATGATTATGTAATTATGTAAGGTTTTTTTTGTGTTTGTAAATTGATGAAGTGTTTTTAAATGTAGCCGATATTCATTTTTATGGAGGAATATTGTTGATGTTTCGTGTTTGTAAACAAGTGTGATCATAAGCATTATAATAGTGTAAAAATAATAAAATGTCCGCTCTTTTTTTTCATTTATTAATTTTTATTTTATTTTATTTGGTAAGGAGAAGGTCTTATTGGACTGGAACCTCTAATAATAAGTCCATTGCCCTCTGGATTTGTTGAGCCTTTTGGTTTTGATGGACAAATTGACAAACTCGACTAATGAATGTTTTGAGTCTTTGGTGAATAAAAGGTTCAAGCAAAGTTTGTTCCGGAGTAGGAACTTGGATGCGGAGTAGCATTCTCTAAAAAGCCTCATGCAAATCTCACGTTCTAGTTTTAATTGTGAGCACTCAATAATATAGAGTCGGAAAGGAACTCAATGACTTATGTTATTAAAAAGACTACTGGAATAAAAGTTATTTTTAAAAGATAATTTATTAAGGAAAAAGATAATCTAGTAATTTAATTTCAAATAAAGATAATTATCGAAGATAATTATCTAGTTGTTTTAATATAAATAATTAAATTATCTTTTCAAATAAAATCCTTTTTAAAATCTTTAACAAACTTTTGAAAAAGTTAGCAAGCTGTGAAAATCTCTGATTATACGGTTTTAGTATAGCTAATGTTTATCAAGTTGTCGAGATAGTGGATTAGTGAGATAAGGCTAGGAAACCTCCTTCATGATCACCATCTGTCAAGATAACTCCACAAGTTGTTAGTGGGGTGTTGGCATGTGGACGTGATTATAGTGGAGGTTAATGACTAAGCCTTCTCTATAAATACTCATGCAAACTATCTCAGTAAAACATAACTCTTGAGCATAAAAATTCCAGTAGCCATCTAATAACATAAAGAGAGTTATTATCCTTCTTATATTCTTGAGTGCAATAGGTATTTGTAATCACAGATTGTAGTCAAGTACTTTGGGGTTTGGGATTGTGAGTTTTTGTAAAGTGAGGTCAAGGAAGCTTCGTTGCTGAAGTCTTCTGTGAGAGTTGGGAACAAGTTCCTGATTTGTGGAACTTGTTAACGGGTTTGAATCTTCACTTGTAAAGAGTTTGATTACATAGTGGAAATTTAGAAAAGCCTATATCTTCTCTCGTTATTATTTCATTTAGTTAAATTTCGCAAAAAGTTTTTAGATTTCACCTCAAATACAATTCACCCCCCCTCTTGTATTAGCCAGTTAGACTTTCAGGATTGTACTTTTTCTATTTTATTAATATTGTAACAAGGATGAAATTACACATCCCAAAGAGAATTTATATGCTAAATATCTATACTTGTTGTGTAAGAATAAAAATTATAAAAAGTTGATATTATGAAGTATTTTATGAGACGATTTTTTTAAAGGCAAATAAAAGTGGCATTGCCCGGACTCGAACCGAAGACCTTCGGGGGCGTAGGTTGGTGTATTTTTTGAATTAGAAACGGATTCGATTAAACCAATACTGTTACCATGTGTTTGGTTTGAAGGCATGGTAACAATTACCATTACCTAAGGGTAATGATTACCCCTTATTTGTTACCTCTCAAAAACTTGGGGTAACTGTTAGGAATATATTTAGGAAATCTTATCATATATTTGTGATTATTATCATATACTTAGTTTCCTAGTTTATAGGCTTAAGATATATCTTGAAGATATTAATTTGTTATGCTTTAGGAAACTATGCACTCTATATATTTGAGGATCAATCAATGAACATCTTGTCTCAAGACCCTCTGCCATCTCTTGATCGAGCATATCAATTGGTCTCCCAGGATGAGCGGGTTCGGTTGGCTAAACAGGTTCCTGCCGAGCAACCCCCTGAAGCAGTTGGTTTTGCGCTTCGAACGAGCACTGGGAAGTCCAAGTCCGCAGCCACGGAGGACAAACCCGACAGATCAAGTCTCCTATGTACCTACTGCAAGAAACAAGGCCACTTAGCTTCGGGCTGTTTTGAATTAAAAGGCTACCCGGAGTGGTGGCCGAATCCCTCTAAGCGTGGAAAGTCACAGTCCGACGCTAAAGGGAGACCTCAAGCTCAGGCAAATGCAACAACAACAGGGGCGTCTAATTCAAGCAACATGGACTCTTCGAGTGGTTCATCACAAACATTTACCGCGGAGCAATGGAAAGCAATTGCCGGTTTCCTTGGTAATACAAAAATTCCCGATGATTGCTTGAATGGTGAGTTTGACAACGATTTATGGATTGTTGATACAGGTGCATCTAGACATGTGACAAGCAATGACAAATGGTTATTTGATACTCGAACCATCTCTCATTGTCCCGTGGGACTTCCGAACGGCAAAATAGTAAACGCCACAAAAGAAGGCTCGGTTCGATTATCGTCTAAAATCGTTCTTCATCATGTGCTATATGTTCCTGATTTTGTGTTGCAATTTAATTTTTGTATCTCAATTAATCGATGATACAAATTACACTGTCCAATTTAACTCTAATATGTGTGCTATACAGGACCAGTCGAGGGAGCTGATTGGAACGAGTGTTAGGCGAGATGGACTGTTTTATTTCGAAGGACGTGCTTCGGTGCAACATGTGGCTGTTTCTGAGTCTTCCGCATTGTTAGAGTTATGGCACAAGCGTATGGGGGCATCCGTCGAAAAAAGTCGTAAAACTTCTCCCTCATGTTCATAATTGTAAGGGTAGTTTAAATAAAGCATGTGACGTCTGTTTTCGTGCTAAACACCCTAGGTCTAGTTTTTCTTTAAGTGAGAATAAAGCCTCTAGAATATTTGAAAAAATTCATTGTGATCTATTGGGTCCTTATAAACATGCATCGTCTTGTGGTGCTCGTTATTTTTTTACTACAGTTGATGATTTCTCTCGTGTTGTTTGGATTTATTTGCTAGTTGATAAAACGGAGGTTTTCCGTATGTTTATGTCTTTTGTGGCAATGGTGGATAGACAGTTTTCCTAAACAATTAAAATAGTTCAAAGTGACAATGGCACCGAATTTAATTGTTTGCGTAATTTTTTTAATGCAACTGGCATCCTATTTCAAACATCATGTGTCGGAACCCCGCAACAAAATGGTCGAGTTGAGAGGAAACACAAACACATTTTAAATGTAGGTAGAGCTTTGAGATTTCAAGCTAGCTTGCCTTTGTATTTTTGGGGTGAAAGTGTTCTTGCGCCCGCTCATCTCATAAACCGAACTCCTTTCCCTCTCTTGCAAAATAAATCCCCCTATGAAATTTTATTTGGCACAAACCCATCTTACTCTACAATACGTACTTTTGGGTGTCTTTGTTTTGCACACAACCAAAAAGCTAAGGGTGATAAATTTGCAAGTCGGAGTCGTAAATGTGTTTTTATTGGTTATCCGTTTAGGAAGAAAGGTTGGAGGTTATTTGATCTTGATTCAAAGGAATTTTTTGTGTCTCGTGATGTTAAATTCTTTGAAGATGTCTTCCCGTTCCTTGATCCTATTTCCACCAATATCATTCCGGAAAAAATTGTTCAGATATATACGGATGTGTCGTATGATTTTGATGAAGTGAGTATTGGGTTACAAGACCTTAGTGAGGGTCAAGGACATGTGCTGCACCACGAGCTTGAGCAGCCCGCAACACAGCAGTCAGCTGCGACAAGCCACGGCCAGGCAGAGCAGACCGCACGCAAGCAGCGGCTGGACTCTGCTGGCCGCGAGGAGGGCGCGGCATCCCCTGCCTTGCTGCGACAGCAGGCAGACCAGACCGCAGGAAGCCCACGGCTGGAGCCTATTGATCGCAAGGGGGGTGCGACCCCTTCGGTTGACCTACGACAGCAAACAGTTGCAACACAGCCGCCTACAAACGTCGAGCAACAAGCTGAATTAGGCCGGGGCATGCGACCGAAAATTCCCTCCATCAAATTGAGAGATTATGTTACCCATACAATTATCACAAACAGTTCATCTCCAACTTTCTCTCCTAACACTTCGTCTCCAGAGCATCCCTCGGGTACTCCCTATCCTATAGCGCATTATATTAATTGTGACAGTTTTTCTCCACATTACAGAAATTATATTGCAGCTATTACTTCTGGCAAATAGCCAAGGTATTTTAAGGAGGTCATGAAAGATGCACATTGGAGACGATCAATGCAAAATGAAATTCAGGCTCTAGAAAAAAATGGCACGTGGACAATGGAATATCTTCCTCCTGGCAAACGTCCTCTAGGCAGTCAGTGGGTGTATAAAATCAAATATAACTCCGATGGCAGCATTGAACGGCTAAAATCCAGATTAGTCGTCTTTGGTAATCATCAAAAAGAGGGTATAGACTATACCGAAACTTTTGCTCCGGTGGATAAAATGGTCACGGTTAGAGCTTTTCTTGCTATTGCAGCCTCGAAAAATTGGGAGCTACATCAAATGGATATTCATAATGTCTTTCTTCATGGTGATCATGCAGAATAAGTCTATATGAAGCTTCCCCCAGGCTTTGAATCATCTCATCCGAATAAGGTATGTCGCCTTCGGAAATCTTTGTATGGTCTAAAACAGGCTCCTAGATGTTGGTTTTCCAAACTAACAAAATTGTTGAAGGCGTATGGCTTTTGACAATCGTATTCTGATTATTCATTGTTTACGTATACGAAGGGTGCCGTGCAAATTAATGTTCTTGTATATGTGGATGATCTCATTATTTCTGGTAATAATACCGCTGCGTTAAGGGCTTTCAAGGCATATCTTAGTGATTGTTTTCATATGAAAGATCTTGGTACTCTGAAATATTTTTTGGGAATTGAAGTGGCTCGTAGTTCATCGGACTTGTTCCTATGCCAGAGAAAATATACTCTTGATATCATTTCAGAAGCAGGATTATTGGGATCAAAGCCAGTCGGCTTTCCCATGGAGCAGAATCACAAGCTCGGCTTAGCTAATGGTCCTCTTCTTGATGATCCGGAACCGTGTCGCAGACTTGTTGGAAGGTTGATCTATCTTGTTGTCACTAGGCCCGATTTAGCATACTTTGTTCATATTTTGTCTCAGTTCATGCATGCTCCAAGGACTGGACATTGGGAGGCAGCTCTGCGAGTTGTCAGATATTTGAAATAAAGGAACTCCGGGTCAAGGTATTTTGCTACGCTCGGACAGTGAATTAACCTTGCAGGGTTGGTGCGATTCAGATTGGGCAGCGTGTCCCCTGACACGTAGATCTTTGACTGGGTGGCTAATATTTCTTGGAAAGTCACCTATTTCTTGGAAAACCAAAAAGCAGAAGACGGTTTCTATAAGCTCTTCGGAAGCCGAGTATCGTTGTATGTGCGCTACCACAATGGAGTTAAAGTGGTTGAAACGACTTCTTTTGAGCTTAGGAGTACAACATCCGAAGGCTATCAAGCTATTTTGTGATAGTCAATCCGCTTTGCACATTGCAAAGAATCATGAACGAACGAAGCACATTGAAGTTGATTGTCACTTCGTTCGTGATGCTATTTCTGAAGGTTTGATTGATCCATCCTATGTTACTACACGTGAACAACTAGCCGACATCTTTACCAAGGCTCTAGGCAAGGCTCAATTCGATATATTGCTTGGCAAGTTGGGCATCTTCACTCCACCTGCTCCAACTTGAGGGGGGTGTTAGGAATATATTTAGGAAATCTTATCATATATTTGTGATTATTATCATATACTTAGTTTCCTAGTTTATAGGCTTAAGATATATCTTGAAGATATTAATTTGTTATGCTTTAGGAAACTATGTACTCTATATATTTGAGGATCAATCAATGAACAAGGGTAAGATTTAAGCCCTACTTTGACAGTAACAAATACCCTTTCTATAGTTAAACCAAATAAATGAAAAGGTAATAGCTAAATGATTCCTTTCCCTCCTTTTATTTGTTTCCTTTCCACTCCGTTTCCACTTTACAAACCAAACGCCCCCTCAGTGTCTTAGACTGACGTGATAACCAACTAGACCACAACGGCACGACAACTTCAACGGCAACTTTGGTGTTTTTCTTATGTTTTTTTTTTTTGAGGAAATGTTATTCGTAAGTACTTTTTATTAATCCCTTTCTTAAAATTAGATCTTTTTAGTAATGATAAAAATCCCGAGGATTAAGCGTTTAATGAACAAGTTGATTGTTTGAACAGTCAATACTTTCCAAATGTAGAAGTTTCATTATATTACTAATACAGAGTAGGTTATTGGGAATATTAAACTTTATTAGAGTTGAGTATTAATTTGGAGTAAACTAACTTTGTGGTTGCCTCTAAAGTACGTTAATATCCAATGGTAAGTTGCATCAACATGTACTTTACTACTTAATTGGTAAGCTAATTTTGTTATGAAATATTTGTGGATATCCATTATCCTCCTTTGTATCATTCCGGAACAATCTAGATCTAGGGTTATCCAATCAAACCCTAATATATTGTATGTATATATACACCTTATCATATGGAATAAGATACACAGATTTATTCTCTCCTTAATTCTTCTCTTATTCCCTTTATTTCACAACACGTTATCAGCACCAAATCTAACCAAATGAGCATAATATCAAGGGAAGTCTTAGATTATTAATCTCGATATTGGCAATCAAAGTAACCGTAAAATTCAATACGATGGACTCGTTTGATTGATTAACCGCAAATATTAATGCTGCCAAAGGTACGCTTATTTTTGTTTTTGACGACATGCTAAAATCATACTCTAGTAGTTATACACCTTTTGTATGTAAGCCACAATTAGAATTTAGAATTAGATTATTGATGATTAATTGATTGAATGGATTACCTAGAGTATTAGATCTGATAGTCAAAGGTCCACATATGATTTATTATTTCATCAATTAATTTGTTCTGAATAATTTCTTGATTGATAATAATTTCTTGAGTGATGGTATCCTTGAAGATAAAATTTTGGATCAGATTTAATTTGGGCAATATTATATGCTGACAATGGTTTTCATCCATTCAAATTGCATAATTAATAATAATGACCATTACGCCTCCTCATAATCTATGTATGTTTGTTGTTTCGTTTTGCCAGAGTATATTATATAGTTAAGCACAAATTTTATCTACTATATCTAATTGGATCCATGTTTAAGATTAAATAGTTTATATATATATATATATTAGTTCGTGTCGCTTGCCTTTAGCCTCATATTAGACAATGTTTATTTACTGTATTTGTTTGGTATCTTTCAAATCATGTCATGATTTTGATAATAGGATTGACATAATCTTAGTGATAATATCTTTTTATTATCCTCCTTAATTATCTCCTATAAACTAGATGTACATATATTGTTGCTACCATTACTCCTTAGATTGATGTTGACTTATATTCTCAAGCTTTATGAAGGAAATCATCAATAAAACATTCTCTACACTTGTATCCTATGTTGCTCGTACTTGATTATTCTTTAATTCACACACATGTATCATGAACTATATCCCAACACTGTTGCAATTATTAATCCTTTATGGATGTCATTATGTGTCAATTTTATTCTATGTCTAATGACTCGTGATGGCTACTTAGCATTGCTCTCATGATCTTATGTACCTGATGTGGTTAATTATTCGATTTGTTTATAATTCTACCATGTATGCAGTAGCATTATACTTATAGTACTCTATTAAACCTATTACTTTCATTCATGATTATGTGATTGGAGAGAGAGAAATTATTGGAAAAAAAAATTAGATAAATAAAACCGAGCAAGTATATTGTTTGCGGAATAGATGGTTTTATAAGCATGATTAAGTTATTATATGATGTTTCTTATATATGACATCAGATTCTTATATATGATAATTAATTATAATGGTTAATAACCATGACACCGCTATTATATGAGATACTTATGATTTACTTTGAAGTGGATAATAAGACAAGGAGTGTATTACTAGTAATTTTATTTCCTTAAGTATAATATGAAAACATACATGTACATGATGACTTACAAATGTCCAACAATGGTTTCTATGGTATGTTGTTGGCTATATTATCCTCCGTAAGCAAAACCAATGTATGTAAAGTGAAAATAAATACATAAATAAATACTTTGAACAATCGATATATTATTATATGGTCTTTGAGTGGATATCCTTGATTCCAACTTTGGGTTAAAAGTGGAGATCCTTGATCCCAACTAGACTATTAGCTCATTCCCAGAAGTGAATGAGCAATCTCAAGATTGAAACAATAATAATAATATAAGCATGTTTGCATGATGTTATTTTGATATAATTCATTGGAAATTCATGAGAATTACCAAAACGATTACATATATTAGCTATTTGAGCAAGAAATAGTGTTATGAGTTCAAGAAATTAATCCACGACATTACTTGTGAGCAACTTATTTAAAAGTATATTTATTATGCCCACACTTATAAGAGATTAATATGATTAATATAATTGGGCTAGAGAAAAATAATAACTTTGCTTTGTTTGATACATGCATTGCTAAAAGAATTTATGGCTTGAGAAGAAGATGGATTTAAAGATTGTTGGACTAGTTTTATACCCCCATATGCAAGGAGAAGGGGGAGATAGTGTTTATTCCACTGTTTTTATGTAATCCTTGCATATGAATAATTAAATATGTTAATGGTCAGTTTGGTACATACACTAGCCTAAACATCAATAATTTATTTAATAGAGGTGGCCACATGATAATCAAATATTTAGCATGATACCATCCTGAAGATGGATATGAATAAATGTCATTACCTATATAATAGCTATAAATGTACATATTAAGTTGATGTCCTAGGTGGACAAGATCAGTTGCTATTGAACTAGCACACCTGAAGTGTGGTAATGCAAAAGGTTACACCGATAAGAATCCTTGGAACAGGAAAGAAGCACTAATTGACAATGACAAATTTGAGAAAGCTAAGTGACACATTTTATGTATATCCTGAAGAGACCATTTATAATACATTAAAATGTGATATGATTATATAAAGTACTCTAGAAGAGTATAAAATGTTGTCCAACAAGGTTAACATGTATCAAGATTACAATCAATGCTCCAGTGGAGTATGAGTATTAGTTAATTGTCTTGCCAATCGTAGAAAGAAACACACTGGTGTACTTATATCACATCATTTTCATGGCCATTCATAAAGTATCTCTAATAAGGTGATCACCAATATTATAAAACTGATCATAATTTAAATACTAAAGCAAAAATGATTGGATGTGATAATTAATAATTAGGCCATCCGGGGTTTAATAAATTCCCGTTATGAAAACCTAAAGTTTCATTTGATATGAAAGAAATAATGTGCTGACGCTCTCTCATGTTAAATATATGAAATAAATTGAATGGCAATACATAACATTGAGATTGAGCTATATTTAGATTGTGATTTTTAATAGTTTGTGTAAAAAGAAAAGTTCAAGAGATAATATATTGGTCAATCTGAATAATTGGTGACCAGAAGTTCACTAGAATAATTTATATGTTGACAAATATTAGGTGACCAAAAGCTCACCACGTACAAATTATGTGTGAAAATTTTAAGTAACTAGTGTTACTATCAATGTTTCTGCTGATCCCGAAGATCACCACCTAGTGAAATTACAAAAAAAAAAAAAAGTTTATATTTGTATAACAATTCTCTTGATTGGGGCTATTGTATGTCAGCACATAAGAAATAGAAAAGAAGGAAATTCAACTGCACAACATATGTCTCCCCATTGATGTTGAATTATTGATCTCCTGAAGAGAACAAATTGTGAAAGATTTAATAATAAATACATATGTATTATGCAATGTATAGTTAATGAAGAAATAATTTAAAATTGCTCTCTAGAAGAGATAAAAGATTGTTTTAATATAATTATTCTGAGAGATAAATTTTGTTGATTATGATCCTCCCATGAAATGAATTTTATTGTAAATTTGTATACTAAGTTGGTGAAGAACTGTGATGCCCCTATATATGAGATATTTTACCAACTTAGGGGGAGAATTGGAGTAAGTTGGCAAAAATTAATTAAACTGATGATCCCTATATAAATAATGGTAATTTGAAATGTTTTCTAGCCAACTTTCATCCATATGCTATCAAGATATGTTG